TCTCCCTGAGGACCGAAGGAGTCCTACTCCACGGCGGGTACGCTAACTATTAAGACCTGCACCTGAGAGACAAGTCCTTAACAGGCCTCGCTTGGAAAAATCTCGAGGGCGCGCATGCCCATGAGCACGCGAGACCCACGGGCTGCGGCCACGGAAGAACGGCTCTTAAAGGGTCCGCACACAGACTCACCTGCCACAGTGCCCAGCACAGAAGCAGCCCTTTGAAAAGTGCCATGCTTTGTGTGAAAGAAGCTTATTTGCTAATTTTAAAGCAGGTGGACTGAGGGGCAGGGTCTTACTGGGATCCCCTCTGGCAATGGAGGCTGGTGGGCACCATCTTCACTAAAGCAGGCAGGAGCCATTTTTTTTTCTTGTTAAAATCAAACCCAAATGGAGAACAGGCTTGAAAATTCCCTGAGCAGGCAAAACCACTTAAGTAATCTAAACAAACCTTAATTTAGCTTATTTTGCAACACTAACTTGACCTGAGTCATTTCATGCTTATGGCTCTGGAAATCATAGGCAAAACTTAAACCGTTTCCCAAAATTGATATGAGGTAACCACTAACCAATGCCCTATCTTTGAAGAGAATTCAAATATAAGCAGTCACTGTGAAGAATAAACGGGCACTGCCTTCTCACTACATAAGCTGCTTTGTAACAATGTACTCCTGAGCCTCATTCCATGTTCTGGTTTCAGTGCTGCCAGTTTGCAAACTGCCCTTTTGGTGTGTGCACAATAAACTTTTATTAACTACGACTTCAGAGATTTATTGGTCTTACTTCTGTTATTTCTGAACATTTACCAGTTCATGGCATTAAGATTGGGACCCAAAGAAGACCCCGTATGACTCTGAGGCTAGTGAGCAAACTCATGCTGGTACCTACAGAGTCCACTGAGTTCACTGCTTTCTTGTCAACCCTGGAATTTGAGGGTAATTCTCTCTTGGGCCCAGGCTCTGCTGCCTTTGCATTTTGAGCTGTCCCACTTTATTGTGCATATCTCTATTTTGTTTGTTAAATCTTCTTGGTAAGTCACCCCATTCAGTTCAAAAGTGAGGAAAACGTGAGTCCCGGTGTTTTGGAACAGCTGTTAAGAAACAGGTCCCCTTGTAGTTATGAACTCTCAGGGAATCTAAATGCAAAGATGGGTTCCACCTGGTCTAAAACTTTTTCTCCATCTCGCTCAGAAGACTCCTGCTTTCTATATGTATACCCCCTATGGATCAGAATCTTGTGCCTTTTTGGAAAATGGGTGAACTTTTGGATAATTTGGAATTGTGGTGGCCACTTGGAAACTTTAATTTGGATAAGTCTACCTTGAGGCACATTCTTGGCAAGAGAGAATCTCAAACCTCCCAGAGACAATGGAATGCAGTCTTTGATCATACAGAGAAGCTTCTAAAAGACAAAATGACTCCAAAAATAGCTCTAAAACCATACAAATAAAAACTCTTTAGGAGAAAAGTTCAGTAAATAGTGTTGGCAAAACTGGACAGCATATGTAAAAGAATAAAAACCGGACTACTATCTTACACTATACACAATTTCTATTTTGCCTTCTACCGAAAACTTTTATAAAATGCAGAAAAGAAATTAATTGTAATAATAAAACTGGATTGCAGAAAATTGGCAAAGTGAATTTTGGCAGTAACAGAAACAATGGTAGATATATATGTATATTACATATACATACATATATATTTAATACTTATTTGACAATAGAGGCTCTCTAACAACTTTCTGGCATTATTTCTTTAAATAGTCACTCTCTCAATGGCCAAATTTACTCATGTGTTTGGGTCAAGGAATTTGAGTATCAGAAATCAGTAATTCCAGTTGTCTATTGAGGCGCCTTACACAGAATTAGGAATTAGAAATCCAGCAACTGTCAGGTAAGGTTGATGTGAACAGAGCTTTGGCTGTATGTCTAATTTTGGGAGAATGTACACTTGGCACCTCCAACCATAACAGCCACTACAGCCAGTGAAAGGAAGTCTCTGTATCCATTGCCTTTAGGGCCTTTACAGTCATCCTGCAATCCAGCAGTAATAAAGGGCATAATCCTCTAAATGCAGAATTATAAATATTAAACTGCTTTACATCAAACTTGGCCAGCTACTTGGCACAAGTATTCTCCTAATTTTAGGTGATTTCTCTAGACTTTGTTCACACAAACATATTGAAACTAAAACTCTCATGGGATTTCTGTTCTTTGCCATCCTAGTAAAAATAAAACTAACTGTAAATTTGTTACTTAAAAGTATTTCTGATAGTACTGGATGTAAAAAGCAATGATACACCACAATTTTAAATTGAGAAGGACTGTTTTCCTTATGCTCCCAAGCCCTGAAATCATTCTTTGATATGCATGGGACTCCTGAGAAAAGCCAACCTAGCAATCAGTTTTTCAGGATTCAGTTCTGACTGTTAAGGTCCTCAATTTTTGTCACCTACAAACTAGGTAAATAGTAATATTTTTTGTGCAAATTAATGTGTTTAAATTTTTGATCTACTGATTTTCATTTTATTTGAATAAAAATATAAAAATAAATATAAAATAAAGACTGATAATTTAATAAATATCAATAAATGTCTGAAACTAGTACATTAACCAAGTCTTTCCAAAGTTAATAAACACAGCCATTTGAATTTGCTTCAGGCTAAAACTTGTCATTCAGAGTTGATGGTGGAGTTGCAAATTGTTTTTCCAAAGAGCTGTTTATATTGGTTAAGCTGCTTCTTACATGTAAAGCAGTGGGGAAAAGGGAAAAGACAAACACTTTCTCAGGCTTCTCATGATTTTTTTTAATCTATCTGTGCAAAAATATGGCTTACAGTTTATTGCTGAAATGTAGGAACCTGAAGATTCCTGTCCACAGTTTTAAATTTAACAAGTATTTCAATTACTTCCAGAATAATCACTTCCAGAACTTTAGTACTGTACTATTAGTAGTTATGCCCCTTCTACTCATGCAGAGAAATTCTCACATGAGTCATGGACCCCAAAATGCCCAACTGAAACCATACCATGACAATTCATTGTTTTTATCATAAATAGATAAAGCAGTAAAACTTGTATCATTTTTCTTCCATGAGGCGAGAAGCTGCAATAATCATTTCTTTATAATAATTTCAATTTTACTAAAATGTTTCTGAAAATAACAATAAATGATGACACACCCATGTTTGCATCAGTTGCTATCTATTAACATCTTGACTTTTTTTCTATATCTTAGCAAAGGTGTGAAAGAATATTTAAGACTCTAGAAAAAGCAATTTCCTTAGGGCAGCTTTAAGTTTATTTTTTCCAAATAACAAATGATTTTCTAGCATAACTAAAACTTAATTAACCAGTTTGTTGAAGCAACAAGTTGGCCTAATAAAGTTTTTAATGTGAACCTTTGAATTTTCTTACTCATCATCTTTCTTCATCCTCTTCCTTGTCTAAAACAGAAGTATATTAGATACAAATAATCTTTTGAATCAAAGTTCTATATGATCACGACTTTTCTATATCACAGATGGAGGTGCTGATGATATAGGAGTTAGGGATATGTGAGTACAGGCCCAGAAAAAGTCTTAAAAGTTTAAATTTTAAAAAATTGAAATCTTCATTAGGGATTTGCTAATTTTCTCCTTTTTTCTTCTAAAGAAAAACTACAGAAAAATAATTCAATGCATTGTTAGTTAGCTGCATTCTATGTGTTTATAAAAATGTAAAAGCAATATTTCATGAGAACTTTGGAGAGTAGGGCAGATGGGTGAAGACTGAAGCATATTTTTTTTTTTTCTGAAACATATTTTCATCTGATCTTGAATGCTGGATTACAGGACAGATTACACCACATAATGAAAGTCATGGGCCACTAATCAAATGATCCAAAAAAAAAAAGATTTTTGCCTTCTTACTTATCCTCCTTTTTGTTAAGAGAGAACTGACTCTTAAGTGATCACTTTGATAAATAAACCCCAGAATAACAAGGTTTAATCTGTGGAAAATATGTTCTGCAGCTGGGATTCATGAAACTCTTCCTGCCAATTGTGCCAGAGAAGTCTGTTCTAACATCAGCTTCTAAATTCCACAGCAAATTAATTAATACATTGATATAAATGGTTGTCTAGCTATGTTGGAGGATTTTGAGAGATGGACATTTAACAGAATGATGTGTCTTCAATTGGCAATTGAAGGCTCTCTTCAGTCAAATCATTCATTGAGTTCTCACTTTAGAACTCTGTGGTATTGGGTTCCCTGTAGAACTTCTATTATTTTCTGTATGAAAACATACTTACCCCTATGCAGCATGAAGGGAAAATGAGAATGGGTGAATGTTCTTAAGTTGACCTCTTTGGTTAACCTTTGAGACTTTTCATATCCCAATGCCCAATTGGTACCTTAAGTATGGGTTATTACTTTACATATTTCTTCTTCTGTTTATTTTGCTGGGATTATGTATGGTAATTAGTTTTAAAAAGTAAAGCTTAATGCCCCCAAATAATGCTATATAGATAAATCGATCCCTTTTGCTATATGTAAATTGAGCATAGAAGCCCTTCACTGTAATTGTAATTTTCTCAGTTGAGTCGATACAGTAGAATCAGGGAAAGTCAGCCACAATCTTCAGACATCTTGGCTTTCTTTTAAGGAAAAAAAAAAATTACCTTCTCAATATCCTGCTAAATAAAGATGCTGTACAAGAAAACAACAACAACAACTAGCTATAATTAATTTAGGAGACCTCAATCATCTCCTTATGTTCATTGATTTTTGGTATTCTTGGACAACTAGCATGACAGCAGACCAAAAATGTATGTAATAATGAATGCCACAACTGTTTCCCAGTTTTGAGACTTAAACTCCTAAGTTGTTTTGACTGGGCAACTAATAGCAATTTAGATAGTTGTGTACAAATTTGGAGACATGAGATGAAAAACCATGACTGTATTCCAACACGTTCTTCTTGTCAGAACCATTTAAATCACCATCTTACACAAGTACATATTGAAACTCAAATTTAAGCATTTTATTTTTATGTACATTTCATTTGTCCAGAAATAAAATATCTAAATACAGACAGACTGTAATGTTGTATATGTATAGCTTTCAACAATACTTGAGCTGAATAAATGCTTTGTACATTAAGTTTGTCTTTTTAATGGGGTTCACAGCTACATTGATAGAATGGATTCCTCATATCCTTTTTTTTTCTTTTTTAACCAATAACAAGCAGAGAGACAAGTACATAGTTAATATTAATAAGCAGCTCAAATAACACTTGGTTAAACTATGTACAATACAAACCATTCATACAAATGAAGACTAGGATATTGAATTTCTTACAATATGTGTAGTAAAGATAAGACAGACACATAACTTACATGGTGTCTGTCAGGCATTTCCCTTCTTATATAATGATCAGAACTTATTTTAAGCAACCTTAGCTGGTCTCAACTTTGCAAAAGTCCAATGATTGGTGATGAAAGCTGTAATCCAGTGTCTGCCCACACGTAAATTCCAAATGTTTGCTCATCTTTACTGAGAACAGACTCCCTCCATAGAAAAAAGAGCCATCTTGTATCACCTTGAATGTGCCTACTGAATGCTGGAAAAAGTTACTACACTTGTTGTGTTCATAAAATAAAGAATACTGAGCTCTAAAGACACATTTTTTTTTTCCATTTTAACAAGCATATACTCCTACAGTAGTATTTACCAGTACAGCTACTCCAAGCAGTAGAAATGCATGAGTGGGGATTATTGATTAGCATGTACTCAAGACTTTAAAGGAGATTTCCATAACAGCAAGTGCTAAAAACCATTCACTGTCTAGTTAATCCTTTTGCTTGATGATTGTTTATCCTGAACCATTATGAGTCAGACAATGAAAGCCCTCTTGACAAGAATCATGACGGATGCCAGCTGAAATGTATATGAGTGTGTCTGTGTACATCTATGTGTGAGAGCATGTCTTCAAGTGTGGCTTTAGAATCTGTGGTGATTTACAACTATACTGAGAGATGAAGCTGACTGGGCAGAAATTACATCAGATTGTTTTCCACGAGCGTATTTGCAGCCAGTTGACGAGAGCAGCAGTGTAGACACATTCCAGGCAACAGATTGGACCTTCTTCTTGAGGTAACAGCCCTGTCATGTGACCTTGAATTCCTCAGGCTTCAGTCTCACCCCTACATTCATCCTCATCCAGAGGGGAAGTAAGGTGTGTCGCTGTGGTAGTTGTAGTCGGGGCACACTTTCTGTACGAGTTTATAATCTGTACTATAAAAGGAAATGTAAATACAGATCACCTTAAAGGGCTTGGAGCAGAGCCAGGACACATGACTTTGGGTCTGCTCCTGGTAACAGGTTTTTGAAGGGTCATAGTTGCAGAGTGTGTTCTTGGTAGCCTTGTCAACCTTTTCATATTCAATGCGACAATTAAAGGACTTGGAATCTTTGGCATCAATCACGGTTTGCTGTGCCAAGTCGAATTCCACTATTTTCGTAGGGGGCACCAAGCTGACAGATACGTTCCCTTGACCAGTGGAATTATGCCTGAAATAAACACTAAATGTCCCATTGCCATGATCTACAATTTTCCCAGTTATCAATAGGTTTAGCTTCACTGTTTTGATGTTGGAATGAAAATCACCCCATCCAAACATTTTCTTAAACTTGCCCGTCTTAACAATGGGCCTTCGCTTGGCCCTGGGCCGAGGCTCTTGAAGGTCTGTGGAGTTCCTCAGCCAGTCCCAGAGGTCTTGCTCAGAATAAGGTTCTGGGGTGTCATATCGCAGGTCTAAATCTGTATCATTTTCTTTGCCACGAAAAGTCTGTGACAGGAGTCGGCTGATAGACAAGTCTTTGCTGCTTTCTGTCCATATATGCTTTAGTGTGGATTTGCTGCTTCCTGATTTTAGAAGTTCTGACTTTCCACCGTTTGTTAAATTGGCACATGTGACCTGCAAATGGAACAGAAAAATGGCGTTTACATCTTTGTATCTGAGAACACCCAACACAAAGATCCAAGCCCTTTCTCAGAGGCTGGGAATTAAAGTACCTTCATCACCTAGCCAATATTTATTAGGCCGTGATAAAGTACCACTTCTATTTCATACAATGATGGGAGAGGGGGGGTGTAGGTGGATAAAAGCCACTAAACATGACAGAAAGACTATATAAAAACATTTGACAAGAAAAAGGCCACCTAACATGAATAAAGCAAATTAAATTCAAACATAAATCACACTAAAGTAATTACTTCTCAGCACCAAAATCCAAACACTCTTAAAATAATATTTTACAAATGACTATGTTACTTTTTTACTTCAAGATCACCATAAGCTTTATAATAGTATGATTCTCAGAAATATGTCAACTGACAACTGACATGGGCTTTTGGTAGCCCATGCCACAGTCACATAAGGAAAGTTAGTTTGGCAAGGATGCTGTAGTATATTTTATCTGGTCAAAACAAAATAACATGTTTATGATCACCCATTATTAGCAAGAAACATACTGTATAAGACAATTTTTTCCATTAAGGGATTTAAAATGCGATCTAGGAAAACAAACATTAACTGATAAGAGTAGTGCAGATCTTTTGATTTTAGAGTTTATTTTTGTCTTTGTTTTGTGTCAAAGAAATTTAATCAATTGGTCAAACATCCAAATCTGTACTTGCCTAATTCTATAGGCATTGTTCTTATTGCAGCCTCTATATTTATCTTTAGTATAAAAGAAATGAATACATATCCTAGTCTCTATAATTACATAGGTAGTTTCCCATTCTTCAGGTGGCAAAAAGAATAAATACAAGCATGCATTTGGTAATGGCTTGGTACTTGTATCTCATCATCAACACAGTTGATCAAGGAGAGGGGCTGTAATGAGATGCATCATGGTGCACTGGTTCATGAAGCAGTAATGAAATTGTCCCAAAGAAGAAATGAAAAGGGATTTAGAGTGCATTTACCAGCAGCATATAGGGAGTAAAAAAAAAAAAGGGAAGTGTCAGATTTCAAGGAGAAAGAACCAACCTATTGAAGAGGATGCTAAGATTCTGATAGCAGAACAACCTCTGATTTTCAGGTAGAATAGAAATTTACTTCTAAATTATACTCTCCACAGCTATAGTGATTATGACTCTGGAGTCTGACACCCAGAATTCCAATCCAGGCTGTGATCCTTCACAGCTGTATAGTGTGGGCAAGTTGCTTAACTTGTTTACACTTCTGTTTTTCTCTTCTACAGAGTAGGAGAATGATGCCGCTTTCCCTCACATGGCTGTTTTGAGAATTAAATAGGACACTCCATTTAAAGCACTAATGGACAGTCACCTGGACACGATGAGTGTTCAACATTGGTATTCTAACTATTATCATCCTCAAACATTTTATCTCTGAATTCCACTGGGTAATATTTTATGTAAATGAATAACTTACAGTAGGATTTGAGAGCAAAGGGTATCTTTATAAGAAAATCTCCCTTTTATATAACCAAAAACCTAAAGCAAACAATTTAAACATATATATACTTTTGAAAGTGCTGCTGTGACAATCTAAAAACATAACAAGTTGAGTAGATAGTAAAACTCAGGTTAATAAGACATGAGCATAAGTTCATCTATTAAACTGTTCAACTATCAAATGCAATGAATTTATTAGCCTTCAATGGTGTGATGTGAACAGCTTCCAGGGGTGCAGACAGTCAAGAAACCTCTCTGGAATATCTCACTTTGGGTGCAGAATCAAAGCAGGTTGTAGTCATCAACACTGCCTTCAATATTCTTATTCTCTCTTCCCTTCCCTTTCAGGGCAATGTCTAAAAGAGAATATCAGTCATGAAAAATCAGGGAGGGTCCTTAGGAAAGTCCCCAGATCTGTTCAGTATACACAACACTGATTCATTTTGTCTTATTAATTCAATAACTATATAGTGAGATTCTGCTAATATTCAGTAAAATAATAGCAATACAAAGGTAAATGAGACATGGTTCTTGCCCTCAAGATGTTCAAAATCTAATAATGAAATCAGTTAAGCAAATAGCAGTGTGATGTAACCAACACTATGTACGATATTCTTGGAGTCATAGTCAAAGTTAAAACGTAGAGAAGACGTAACAGAGGAGATGACACTCAGATCTGGCAGATAACAAAGAGGTTCAGAACTTCAAAAGAGGGCCTCCCTGGTGGCGCAGTGGTTGAGAGTCCGCCTGCCGATGCAGGGGATACGGGTTCGTGCCCCGGTCTGGGAGGATCCCACATGCCGCGTAGCGGCTGGGCCTGTGAGCCGTGGCCGCTGAGCTTGCGCGTCCGGCAACGGGAAAGGCCACGACAGTGAGAGGCCCACATATCGCAAAAAAAAAAAAAAAAAAAAAAAAAAAGAACTTCAAAAGATAGTGAATAGGCCAGAGAAGTCCTCCTAAGTATAAGGAACATACTATGTAAAAGTAAAAAGTTGAGAAGGAACATGTCAAACGTAAGAATGGAAAATTGTTCCTTACCTCTGAACATTAGGGAGAATTGACTGGGAGGAGAAAGAGAAAAAGAGGTTGCAAGAAGTCAGTAGAACCTGAAGAAGGTACGCTAGGGTCAAACTGTGAAGGTTCTAGGGTCAATTTGTGAAGGCATTTAAAATTATTATTATATATAATGGGGAATCCCTAAATTTCGGCATGTTTTGCTTTTAAGTGGGTCATCCTGGCTGTAGAAAAATCACCGATTGGACATTGAAAGGTGGATTGGTAGGGAGAGAACTTGAGGGAATAATTAGTTAAATAACAAATTGCAATACTTCATTCGAGAAAGTAAATGAGCTTGAACCAAGGCAGTGGCAGAGAAAAAGAAAAAGAAAAAGTAGATATAAGCAATATTTTAGAGGTAGGATTAACTCAGCTTGATGATTTACTGGCTAAGCAGGAGCATGAAAAAGTTGCAAATTAATGAGTTTGCTCGCATCTGTAAGGAATACAAAAGTAACAAGTTAAAAAAAAGTATAAACACTTGAAAAGAAGCCTCTTGATTTTTGAATTCACTACAAAGGACCTTCTTGAAGCAAGTTTCAGTAGTGGTAAAGAGACGATGTAAGATGACAAAGAATAGCAGCAAGCTTAACACATCTACTCCCAGATGCAATCAGGAATCCTTGGCTTTCTCACTCTATTATATTGCTTACATCTTAAGCATTTTCATTTTTGCAACACATAAATGTACACATAAAATTGAAATCGATTTTGAGCCTTACTGAATAAACAATACCATTTTTTTAAAAAGAAACTTATACTGAGAACACGCTGTACCATTGATTTTACAAACGTAATAAAAGAGTTTCTTTTTAAAAGTCACCTGAAGATCCTTCCACATCAGTATATCAAATGATAACAGAGGTGGCAAAGACTATGGCATAAAATGAGACCAAAAGAAAAATCTGACAATTTCTAATTGACTAAATTCCAAAAAGGCAAAGCATCATGAACCTTCTTTTCTACAAAGAGTAATTTTTCCTATAACAGTGAAAACACCAAAGATACTTCCTAACTGAATATAATTTTCCAAGGCAAAAGTGGCCAATGCCCGCCCACTCCAAAGGAGTTGACCCACTAGTCCAGTGATACCATTTCCACAAATTATGTGATTTTCCTAACTGTTTTAGAAACAGTGAGAATCATAAAGACTCAACATGATTAGGTATATGCATTTTAAATCGTATGTTTCTTTTGAGAACATTCAAATATAGGTGCAAAGAGAAGGGTCATTTTCTTCAACCGTAAACAAAGACAGAGCTAGGATCTAACATGAAGGGAGCATGTCTGGGGCAGGACCTGTGTGTGGAGCTGGGGAGAAAAGACTACTATTGACTGGTGGGAGTGTAAGCATATAAGAAGTTGCAATGATCTTGGTCTAGCTCCTCCTTTATATACCTCAGGGCCATGCTTTCGCATTGCTTTCTCTTACATCTTTTCATTGCAGGCTTACAATCATAATGTCAATATATTATCTTTTAAAATATTGTTGAAAGGCACCACTTGAGAACAATAAACTTCACTGCCACTTCAGCTATGCTCCTGGCCTTATGAGATTTTATACAAACATTTCACTCTTTTACATGTACGTCTCCAACTAGAGGTGCCTCCAGATGTCTGTGTACCTCTTTTTACAAAAGAGCAGTAAGATGCCTTTTACTTTCTACCAAACCACACATTTACTGTTGATCTATTACTGTTCAATATAAATTATCTCAAGATTACTTTGAAAATCATGTATTTATTTCATCAACTGTATGAGTATTTAAGCCAAACAAAAATTTTAGATAACCTGATGCTTAAGCAATATCTCTCATCAGTGAATAACTAATCAACAAAACGGCCTTGCTCTGTGATTACAACTTCATTTTGGCAGCTTTATGATTTCCTAGGTTGAATATATGTTGCATACCATTAACTGCTATCGGTTAAGGGCATACTATATTCCAGACATTGTAATTAGCATCTTACATATGGCATTGCATTTCATTTAAACCACACACACACACTCACTCATTCACTCACTCACACACAGACTTTAAGATCAATATTGTTATTTTCAGCTTACAGGCAGAGATATGGAAGCTCAAAAAAGACTCGTCCAAGATTACTGCTGGTAAATGAAAGAGCTACTGCTTAGCTACTCCACAGGGTATTTCCTTTATTTTTAAAATCATTTTAATCATTCAATTGTACATTAATATATGTTTATCAAAACATTTAAACATTATAGGATTTATGAACTAAAAATTAAAAGCCTATCTTCATCATCAACCCCTGTTCCCTTACAATCCCACCTCTCTCTCCAAAGGTAAAACCTCAAATTTTTGACGTATATTGTTTCTAAATATTTTCACTATTTTTTAATGTATAAATATTTTACATAAATAGTGTCATATTTTATGATTTGCATTTTGTATTTTTCCATTGAACAAAATA